GCCTGGCCACTTTTTAATAGGACTGATTTTTTTTGAGGACACACCTCCCTAACCAAAATTATGTTCATGGAATTGCAACAGAGAGAAAACTGAACATCTTATCTTTCAGAAGTAGACAGCACAGTCCAGGACACTTACTGGGGGACCTGCAAAACACAAGCAGAGAAGCCACAGTCAGCGTGGAAGGCAGAGTCCCCTCGCCCGTCCTCAGCGCGGCTCCTGGCCACCCCTCCCTGGAAGGCTTTGATGCTGCCATGGCTGTTTCCTGCCATGGCCTGGAGCTGGGGGCAGAGCAGAAGGGGCACCTTTGCTCTTGGAGAGCCCGGGGTGGTCCCGGGGGTGGTGGTGACAATTCCCACAGGCATGGGTGCAGGCACTCATGTCACCAGGCAGCTTCGGGTTCTCGCGCTGAGTAGGAATCGGAACTTGTTCCTACTTAAAGAACAAGCTCTGGTTCTCCTGAGGGGATGGTTTGTTTCTATTGAGGGGAGACAGGGGGAGCAAACGTTTTGGACAGAGAGAATACTGGGAGGAACAGCAGATGGGTGTGGCTGAACAGGCTTTTTGGGGGAGGGGTTCCTGCTGCCCAGCCCCAGGGTTAGAAATGCATGAGGAGTAGCAGGGGCTGGGGCTGTGGCTGAGACTTGGCTACCAGATGAGGGCTCACAGAGAACCCTGATGAGGCCCATGGGGACTTCACCTCACAGCTTGCAAGGCATGTAGCATACCCATTATTGCATTTGACCTTCCCAACCATCTTTCGTGAGAGGTCTGATGAACATCTCCATTGGACAGCGGATAACGCAGAGGCTCACAGAGCCGTGACTTGTGTGGGCCCACATCGTTGATTAGGGGTGGAGTCAGCGCCTGCTGGATGGAAGGAGGTCTCCCAACTCTACCAGCCCTAGGCGCTGTGCACTGAGCCACGCCGCTGGCAAACCAGACCCCAAACCTCACTCGAGGTTACACGGGGAGGCAGCACCTGGCAGTCAGTGACCAGCATGATTTATACGTCCCAACTATGAGCTAGGAGCCATGGGGGTAACTAACGGGACCAGTAGTGAGTGTAAGAGGCAAGAGCCCTGACTCATGAATATTGATGAAGCAGACAGATCCCGAAGAGGACATCTACACAGGGAGAAGGCCAGGAAGCTCCAAGCACAGCACAAGGGCCCTGACCCAGGCTGGGCTGAGTCCAGAGGGTGAGAAAAGAGGAGGGAGGAGTGTTGCAGAGATGGACAAGCTCAGAACATGCCAAGATCATGGGCTTTTGAGGAGCCAGGAGAAGTGAAGGCTGCTGCAGCGAGGGAGGGCCAGAGAAGGCAGGGCCGGCCAAGCCTGGGGGTTTGTTTCCATGGCATGGTCTGAGGGGCTTGGTTCTAAGGGTGAAGGGGAGTCAGTGAAGGGTTCTGCATGGAGGAGTGATGGGGAGGGGCAGGAGTGCACCTGGAGATGCGCCGAGGTGTCCCTGTGCAGGTGCTGGTGGGTGAAGGGGGGAATGGAGACTCAGGAGATGTTGGTCAGAGGAGAGATGGGGCTCGCACAGTAGCGGTGCATAGAGGAAGGAGAGAGATGACAAGGATTTTTGGCTTGAAACACTGATGTACTCATACCCAAGAATGATGACATGGGGGACAGTGGTTTCCCCAAGTCTAGATCAGAGGCAGAGCAGAGCAAGATGCTGGCAACCTGGACATCCCATTGAGCTGACTCCTCACTGTCAGCCAATGACCTTGATTCCTATTTTCCAAAGCAAACAAAAGCTGCCGGATAGGTTCACTATCGCCTTTCCAACACCGGTTGTATACATCTGTGCCTGTACCTGCACCTCGGCCTGCGCCTGCATCTGTACCTCCCCTGTGCCTGCACCTGCATCTGCAACTATGCCTATACCTGTACCTGCCTTTCCACCTGCCCCTCCCCCTCGATCTGTTCCTGTACCTGCACCCGCACCTGCTCCTGCACCTGCCCTCCTCTCCATGCCTTCAGGTTAACTCAGAGGAACTGACCCACCTTCAATTAGGCCGCTGTCCCCTCTGTATTGCCCAGAGCCTGGCCCCATCCACAGTCCCTCTGGATCTCAGTCACACTTGCCCTCTCACACAAGTCCTTCCCAACAGCTCTGAAACACGCTCTAATTCCTCGGATGGCAAAGCCATACCTTGGTCGCACACCCCCTTCTATTTCTGCCCTTCCTCCGCTCTCTCCCTCACAGCAAGAAACAGTGGGAGGCGGCTTCAGAGGGGCAATGAGGTGGGGCAATTGGGTACGGCCTTGAGCAGAGAGAGGATGTGACCTGGCTCACATTTTAAAGATCCTCCGGTGTGGGGTGGCAGGGGTAGAACGCAGAGGCTACCGCGTGCTGCAGAGGAGAGAGGACGGTGGCTCACAGCTGGTGGTGGCAGTGGAAGTGCTGGACGTGGTTGGGTTCTGGATTGATTCTGACAGCACAGCCAAAGGATTTCCCTAGTTTTGGCTTGAGCAACTGAAAGGATGGGGCTGCCATCAACAGCGGTGGGGAGATAGTGGTGGGACAGGCTCGGCTGAAGGGGTCAGAAGCTTGGCACACGTGGCACGGCTGGAAGTAAAGAGAAGATCAGGAAGTCCTGGAAGCGAAGTAGAGAAAGTGTCCCAGGAGGGAGCGATCGCTGTGCACGGGGCAAAGGAACCGCCCTGCAGATGGGTCAGGTAAGAAGACCAGGAACTGGACGCAGCAATGCAGAGGCATGTCTAGGGAGTGACAGGAGTGGGGTCTGATGGCAGAGGGTTTCAGAGAGAAGGGGGGTGAGGGATGCGGACAGTGGGTGCTTTTGAGGAGCTCTGCAGCAAAGGGGAGGAAATGAACAGTGGCTTTTGGGCTGGGGCCTGGCGATGGGTATTTCTTTAGGATGAGTGACATGGCCACGCGTTTGTAGGATGTGAGTGGTCCAGCAGAGAGAGAGGATTTGGCGTGGGGGGAGAAGGGGAGACTCCTGGAGCAACGTTCTTGAGGAGGTGAGAAGGGCTGGCTCCTGGCGCTGGCACAGATGGGGGCCTGGACAGTCCATCTGTGGAGACGGCAGGAGGAAGAGTGCCTGGTGCTGCCAGGCACGTGCCATGGAGGTGGGAGTTCAGGCAAGTTCTCTTCTGATCGTGCCAACTCTCCCAGTAAAGTAGGAAGCAAGGCCGTCAGCCTCAGGTGATGACGGTGCAGGAGGCGTTGGGGGACTGAGCGGGAGAGGTTGAATGGGTTGGACAACGTGGCCTCAGCCAGGCGGCAGAAAGAGCCACAGGGGCCGGGGGCGTTCCTCTCCAGCTGGGTAATCGGTACACACTGGAGTGGAGCATGTGGAGGGGGCTGGGTTCAGTCTGGGGTGGGGCTTTTGCTGAGTGGGACCGAGGGAGGAGGGAGGAGCAGGGAGGTCTGGCATGGGGCAGCTGGCAGGATTCCAGCTGGAGGGGTGAGGGGCCAGGGACTGGGATCCATGGATCCGAAGGCTGGAGACGGAAGGGTTGTAGGGGTCAGGGAGAGGGAGTGGGCTGGAATTTGTGAACTGAGAATTTGTGGATGCTGCATGTATATCGGGAGAGACCTCGGGAGGGAGAGGTTGTGGTCAGAGGAGGCCAAGCCTATCAGAGGAGAGGAGGCCACGGAGTCCAGGCGCCAGGCTGTGTAAGGGGCTTCTATGTGGCTATCAAGATTCATAAGAATTCACCCAGAAGCACTGTGGGAGAGAGGGCTGGTGACCCAGGGGCTGGCACCGACTAGCAATGAGATGGGTGCACCTGGGACCGGAGATGGCTTCAAGAATGACGCCCCATCACCACCCCCGTCTCCCATTCTGGGGCCAGGGTCACGTTTCTCAAAACGCAGATCTGATCCTGGCACTTCCCTCCTCACCGTCTTGTTCCTAAGACAAAGGCCCGAACCCCGTGGTGCCTTCCACGTGGTGATCTGCCTCCCCAAATCGCTGCCTAGCCCCCTCCCCAGGGCCTCCACACCTGAACCTCTGGGAACAGCAGGGGGAGATGTGTTATAACCGCTAGCTGCCACGAGAAAATGAAATTGGATCCCTGCCTCAGCATCGACCAGGATGAATTCCAAAAGGATCAACGATTTTACAGGTTAAGAAAACGATAAAAATCCTAGAAGAAAACGTGGGAATATTCCTTTCTAGCGTTGGAGAGGGCAGGCTTTTCCACCTATGGTTCGTAATCCAGAAGCCACAAAAGACAGGCCTGATCCAACCATATAAACCCAAAAAATGTCCACAAGGCAGAAAGTCTTGGAAGCAAAGTCAAAGGCCAAGCTAGGCCGGGCGCGGTGACTCGCGCCTGTAATCCCAGCACTTTGGGAGGCCGAGGCAGGCAGATCACTTGAGGTCAGGAGTTCAAGATCAGGCTGGACAACATGGTGAAACCATGTCTTTATTAAAAATACAAAAAACCCAAACCAAACAAAACGAAAAAACAAAAAACCAATTAGCCGGCTGTGCTGGCGTGTGCTTGTGATCCCAGTTACTCGGGAGGCTGAGGCAGGGCAATTGCTTGAACCTGGGAGGCAGAGGTTGCAGTGAGCTGAGATCACATCACTGCACTCTGGCCTCAGTGACAGAGTGAGACTCTGGCTCAAAAACAAAGCCAACCTAGGAGACATATATCTAACTCAGGTCACAAAGGCTAGATACCTTGACATAAAAACACTCCTACAAGACATCTCTCAAAACACCAGCAACTCAGTAGAAACAATATACCCAAAGATATGAATGAAGAAGTCACAGAACAGAAAATACAAATAGCCTTGAAATATCTGGATTATGAACGAGGATTAACTTTTGTAGCTACAAGTGCTAATCTTCATAATAAAAGAAGCGAAGGTTAGAATTATGATCATATCAGATTAAAAAAATGAAAAAAGTCTCATGACCTACTGTGTGAAGGGCAATGAGGACAGTCACCTTACACACTGGTGAGAGGATAAACTGGGACCTTCTCTCTAGGGAGTGATCTGGCAATACTTAATAAGATTTAAAATGTATGTGCCGATTGCCACAGCAATTATCCTCCTAGAAATGTATTCTGCAGCTATGTTAACGCATATGTAAAAGGAGAGGGGTATAAAATAGTCCTCATCACAGAAATGTTGAGATAGTAAAAGTATTAGAAA